TATATATGTATAATTACTATATTAAACGACTCCTACTCAAAACAACTAATAAAACAGTTTCCTAAACTACCCACCCTTTGCCCGTGTCTAGGCAGTCTACATGTGCAGTTCACAAAACCCTCATCCATGGACCGTGGATGGGACCACGCCCCGTACTGTGGGGGTCGTGGTTTGGGTCTACAACCTGGACTTGGTGGCCTTGATCTACGGAGCAAGACCACGAGCCGTAGATCAATCTATAGCTGTGGATTGCATCTGTAGTTCATGAAATTTTGGCAGTTTTTGCTTCAAGGGGCAGCCTTGGGGTTAGGCTTTAGGGTCCCCCTTAAGGACCATTGGTTGGTCCTTGGGGGGTCGTACCTTGACGTTTAACCCTTATAACCCTCATTCTAAGTTCTGGAAGTCAATTTACAACCTAAAATCAAACATCAAACTCAGAAGCTCACATGTGAGGCTCTAGTTTCACCTACTAGTTTCCATTAGACTTTAGCTTGGTCTTACTAGATTTACGGGTTGTTACAAACTTGTACCATGTTTGGTTGGTAAGGATTTAAATATTGTATAAAATTTATTCATGTATTAATTTATACGGTGTTTGGTTGCATTTTTTGTAGTCCTACATAATTAATTACCAACATAATTTATGAGGGAATCTATGTATAAAATTATGCAGGGTAGAAGGTGGAATAAGTTATGTGTGTATTAGTTATACATGTGTTAAAATGATAAATTACATATTTACCCTATTAATTTATTTTATTTTTTTTAATTGGAGACTTTCCTGTTTTCCTATCTACATGTGTTGTTTTTATTTCTTTTTATATATAGACCATTTTCATTTTTTTTTAATTATTTTTTTTAATTGGAGACTTTCCTGTTTTCCTATCTACATGTGTTGTTTTTATTTCTTTTTATATATAGACCATTTCCATTTCTTTTTATATACTTACAGTTTTTATTTATCTATGCAAATATAAATATTTTTTTAATATTAGAAATTTTGATTGTATATTTTTTGACGGTACATATGCTAATCAAATATTAGCATTATATATTATTCAATATATTCCACATTTTATTAGCACGTATTATTATATTGTAAATAATATATATTAATAATTTACAACAAGTTTAATATTCAATAGTTAATAATTCATGTATTGTAATCTCTACATAACTAAATAATACCTACATAACTAATATTCGCATAGCTAATACCCGCATATATAAACCCAACATAACTAAACCCTGCAAAACTAGTACCTGTATAACTAAAATCGACATAACTAAACCCTGCATAACTCTAACCAGTAATCAAACGGCCCTAAGGGATCTATTTGTACGCAATTCCTTTTCTCTATTTGCTCTGATTATAGATGTGGGCATGTGGGCATGTGGCTAAGAAACATAATTTCACATGAGAAAAAATTGTGTTGTGGCTAAGAAACACAATTTACGTGAGTAAGAATTGTGTTTTATGGAGAGCTTTATATATGATAGAACTCTGTACACACAATGACATGATCAGAATTTTTTATTAAAAAATTTAAAATATATAAAAACAAATATATAGGAAAAAAGATAAGGAGGTTTAAATTTGTTATATATAAAAATTTTTAAAAAATAAACATTTAGCATTGTGTAAAACTTATCATAGGGAGAAGGCCAGAAAAAAGTTTTAAAACAGAAAGAAATGAACACTTAAATGAAGAGACAAAATAGATTGATGTCTGCCCAATAAGAAGCATTAGAATGATCTTTTTAGTTCCTTGATAATCTGTGTTACACAATCTCATTATACATGCTGTAGGTATCAGAAAAACAAATCTCTATACCTGGCCAAAAATGATCTAGATACATAAACTAGGAATAACTACTTCTATTTGCTTGCCAGAGCTTCATCTAGGTAAAAAGATTCTGCTGATCGATCTGTTTCAGAGCAGCCATATGGTGAACTCATCAGATCATTTGCTTTCTCATCGAACATCCTAACTTCTGTTTCTTTATCAAATACCTGGTTTCCCTTTTTCCCTCGTTCTGCCCTGGATGACACTGTTTTGTGCCTGATACCAACAGCTTCAGCTTGATCTGCGAATAATTTCTTTGAGATGGATGAACTGCATATTTGTTGATATACGTCGTAGGTAGCTGCGTGAGTGTTTTCTCCGTTCAGAATATTTGAAAGAGGATGCAACACGGAAATTGGATCACTGTTCCTACTTAGAGTTTCCTTCAATTCTAGAAACTTAGAAACCAGTTCTGGCTTGCTAAACTGAATAAAGACAGCGCTTTCATCCAAATGGTAGACTGAGGAAACAGAATTTGGGCCAAAGGCTTGTGCTATACAAGCTCTTATCTCCTTTGCTTTTAGTTTAGATGGCAATCCCCACAACAGAATGATGCTAGGAAATGAGATATCCTGGTACCGACTTTTGAGGTTACTAGAAGCTGAGGAGTCTGGTGTACATTTCCCACTACTTAGATCAATGACGTTACCACCAACCCAACTAAGGTAAAGGCGATTGATATAATTCTGAAGCTTTGTCTCCTTCACTAAATCTCCACCAAGCACATGGAGGGTGAAATCAATGCCTAGATGATTGCACGCCTGTGCAAAAATGCATCCAGTCATGAATGCATCATATCCAGCTTCATGCTTGGCTCCTGAGTTCCAGTTCGAGGATCTGCAAATCAACTTAAAAAATTACTGACAAGGATTATTCACATTGTTCATTTTGATTTATAAATTCCAGTACGAGGATCTGCAAATCAACTTTAAAAATTAGTGACAAGGATTATTCACATTGTTCATTTTGATTATAAATCGAGATACAGCGCAATAGGTTAATGCTATAGAACGCAATAGGTTAATTCTTTTCCCATCAAGATGTATAAATCCTATTTATAGACTACTTTCTTTTCTTTAGATAGTTTGATCAATCTCTTTTGCTCGTTAAAGGTAAGGTCCATGTTCCCTCTAATCTTCGGTAAGAATTGTTACTTATATATCACGCGATAGGGTCTAAATAAATCCCCAACACCAATGACCAAACCAATAGGCTCACTACCTTCCTATTGATGATGACTTTTGAAAAGAAATAAAAATTGTGTTACCCCTCTTTAATTATCTGAGAGGATATAAAAATGAAAGAAGGTCTCAAATTCACAAGAGACCAGACATGTTTCTAAGCATGTTTTAAAGTTTTATTTCAATTAGGAATGCTGTTACATGTAAATTTTTTTTAGACACATAGAAGAAATTAAAGAATGTGTTGACACATCTTGACTAATTTATTCTAATAATTTATTTAGTTAATTCAAATCAAGATAGGTAGATAGAGATTATTAGGTGCAATGCGTTCGAGATAAGAAAGTGGTCATGCTTCTAAGCTGGTAAATTTCGAGATCAAGAATGTGGTGACGCCTCTAGGTTGAAATCAATAACATTCAATAATATACTCAAAAAAATAGTTTAAAATAAGTATAAGTCAATAAAAGCGACGATGCTAGAACCACAAGACTCGAGCGATGCATAATACCTATTCCTAGGCCAACAAATTTGTTTTCCCTCTTTCCTTCTTTGTTTAAGATATAAGAGTAAATTTATCAAAAAAAAATATGATGAGGGGTATATATATATAATAGTTTCCTAAGAATATTTAGACAAATATATCCCTTTCTGAAAATTAAAAAAAAAGTGTTGTAAGAAAAATATGAGAAATATTATACTTTATTGTGTTTATATGAAGTTAGTGTAGTGAAAGAGAGAGTTCAGACAACGAAAAATATTATAAGTCTTCAACTAATTTACTACACAAAAAAGAGTAATTTTATATTGAAAGATTGTGTTCTTTTGGTGGAGCTTTGAACTCTTCAATTTATTTATAGTTGTTTGAGCCACACGACGTTATTGGATTGCTATATTTTGAAGGGTACAAGTTAAGAGGTATACTATTGGATCAGTATAGTATATCTTATGTCGTAGTTAATTTAAATTTCCTTAAAAAGAGCGAGATATGCACGTTGATATATATTCATTCATCTTTTTTTACTTTATTTTCAATTGTAATTTATGGAAATTACTTCCTCTGTCGAACAATACTTGTCCACTATTGACTTTACACACTTCTTAAGAAACTATAAATAGAAGGGTAAATTATTATATCATCCTTTGAATATAATAAATATAATGTCTTAAATATCATAAGAAAATGACTATAATTAATGATAAGGATAAATTATGAACTAAATGTAACATTATCTATTGATTTCATAAGGTGGACAAATATTACTTAACATCTCAAAATAATATAATGAATAACTATTGTTGGAGAGTAAAAATATATGATATATACACGACACTTTATGTCATCTCACTTCATTAATTCCTTTTATAGAGTAGGTGAGAACATTCTAATTTTGGATTTTTCATAATAAAAATTAGAGTATTGAATAGGCATGAGCTGGATTAGTTTCACAAGTAATAAAATAGATTGAATCAATAAATGAGTTACAATTCGATATAAAAATAAGGGAAAAAAGTTTGAAATATATTTGAACTTTGATAGAAATTGCTATAACAATTTCAAACTTTCGGCACTATTTAATAGTGTATTTTAAAGATATATAAGTGCCTAGTTGGACAAGTTACTATTTATAATGATACAATATTTATGATGTCCATGTGGACACATATATATCATTAAAATAACTATTATATAGTGCAGGGGTAATAGATTTTGCCCAAAGTTTGAAATTGTTACAGTAATTTCGGTTAAAGTTCAAATATATTTCGAACTCTTTTTCTTAAAAATAATGAGTTACAATCCAATATAAAAATTAGGGTTGAATAGACTCGTTTGTGATTTTCGTTGTTGTTTTATATCTACAGACTACAACAGGCTTATTATTTCTGCATTTTCCTTTCCAACACTGCCAACATTCTTATTTTTTTTTTTAAAAGTGTATAAACTATTTTGACGAAGCTATTTTGAAGACACATAGGTGAAAATAAGTTTAAATAATAATTTAATAAAAACTTACTAATAAGTCGGGCAACTTTTTTGCTTTAGTGACATGCAACATGACTAATTAAAAAGATACTTCTACTTAATTAGTTTCATAATAACTATCATCTCATGAGCTTCCCTTTTGTTTGTTTTGTCACATTAATAGTATAATGTATTAAAACGCTAATCAAATTTATAACTACTCATGTTCAAATTAATTAGAAATCCTTAATACAATTTTCCTCGAGAAATATGACTATCGATTTTTTTTTTCTTTTTTCCTTTTCTCATCAAGATGTATAGATCCTGTCTGTAGCCTACTTCCTTTTCTTTAGATTATTTGATCATTCTATTTTGCTTGTTAATTAGAGGCAAGTTTCATGTCCCCTCTAATCTTTATAAGAATTTTTACTTTTATTGATGATGGCATTTGAAAACAAAAAAAAATTGTGTTACCCCTCTTTAATTATCTGAGAGGATATAAAAATGAAACAAGGCACAAAGACTTGGTATACATGCAGTCATTCCTGAATTACCAATTTAAGAATGCAATTTTACTCTTTTTATCATTGGATATATGCTTTAGCACAAGTTGCCAATTTTTCTTGCAACATATTTATCATTTTTACACGAGTACGTTATGGGAAGAAGCTAGCTAAGCTAAGCTGTTATTGAACAAATATTTATCGGTTGTATTACAGTCATCATTTCTGAAACACGTTTTCAATAGGGACACGTGAATGATAACATAAGGGCCCTACATATTTGTTTACAATAAGTGTCTACGTTTTCTTTCTAATATATACTCCCTTTTATACTCTGGCACAATTTGAATTTTGATAGTTAACAATTTTAGTATGACCGTGAATTTTGACATGAAATATTCAAGTTTTTAAAATTTAAATTTATATATTTGAAAACTAAGTAAAAAAATATATTATAAGACACAATATTTGTCAATTAAAAATATATGAAAAAATTACGATCAAATTAAAGATAGAATTGATTGAATCTCAAAATTCAAAAGATGCCACATAAATTGAAATGAAAGTATTACCATTTTGTTGGAAAGTTCCTACATAAGAAGTTTGATGTAAATTATCTTGTGTTTTGAAGAAATCTTAAATGATGGAACTTAGAATCTAATTTTAAAGCATTATCAGAATTCAGATCTGATGATTATGATTTTAGTGTTGAATTGCTTATTGCTTGGGAATATCTATTGATAGTGCATCTGTGCCTCTAACACATAGGTGAAAATAAGTCTAAATAATTAGTTAACAAAATGAATCTTAACCATTAAATAAATAAAGATACATGTGTTAATCCATCAAAGCCACACTGGACCAAATGGAGGGATGGACTACCGGAGGGGAGCCGAGTCCCATTCACATATACTTCTACTTAATTATAACTACTATCTTTCGTTTCCTTTTAACATCAATGGTACTCCCTCCATTTTTTTTTAAAAAAGAATGAATTCTTTTGCTTTTTAGTTTGTTTTAAAAAAAACGATATTTTTTTTTATAACATTTTATTTTCAACTTTTCACGTGGTATGTTTAAGACCTCAATATTAAAGGACAATATTATACATTTAACATAACTTTAATTTAAGACCACAAGATTCAAAAGTCAATTTTATTTTCTTAAATTTCGTGTCAAGTCAAACTAGGTCACTCTATTCGAGAGGGGAGGGGGGAATATATTATATTTAAATGCTAATCAAATTTACAGCTACTCATGCTCAAATTAACGAGAAAATCGTACAATCCTTATACAATTTTCCTCGAGAAATTTATCGATCTATTAAAAAACATATTATTTTACCATCAAAATGTATAAATCATGCTTACAGGTTATTTTCTTTTTTTAGTTAATCAATCTCTTTTACTCGTTAGAAATAAGCCCACTCTAATCTTTTGTAAAAAATTGTACTTATATGATTGCCCCCACCCCAACCCCACACCAGATCTTCCTTATCTTTATTCCCTTCGAGATCTATCAATCATTAATGAATATTGTCTAAATTTTATTTTTATTATTTATTTGGGTATTACTTGCATCAAAATATGTCAAATAAGGTAATCTTACTATAAATTCATTAAAATTGATAATACTATTTTTTTTTTCATCTATTTCATTTTAGAATGACATTAGCTTATATACCCAATCAATATTTCTCATTCTTCTTCTTGGGATAAAATTTATATTTGTATGGTAAGTTTTTTTTTATATACATTAAATAACAACAATATTATGATTTTAAAAAGTATATGAAAAATAGTAATTTTACATAAATCTCAAAAAAGTGTACAACTACAAGTTAAAAATTGTTTTAGAGAAGGAACCAAGTTACAGACTGTTTAATAAAATTGACTTCTTCTCACCAGATACTCATCACTCAACTCTACTCCAATCTCCCTTGTATTTGTATGGTAAGCTTTCTCAACAGGTGATACATATTTGTCTTGCCCAATAAGATCATCTTCCATTTCTTTGTTAGGATTTTTTTTTAAGGGAAAATTGATTCTAGAAGTGTTAGTAGGCGTTTGGCCATGCGATATCATATCACGATATAGAATTGTGAGATTAAATCAACGTTTGGACATGCAATTTTACGTTGATTCCATATTCTCCAAAAATCATGATAGATTTGAGATATTTTTAATACAAAAATTGATCCACAAGTTTATATTCTGTGACAACAACCCCACATTTATATCTACTAACCATTTATTTCATATGTAAATACAATTTATAATCACATCATTACTTTTTAAAATTTATTATTCTCACCAACATATAGTCACTTTAACTGACACCAACCGATTGTAGAGTAATAAATCTATTCTCTTCATTTACTTCAACACCTAATTTATTACTTCTACCGTTTTGTATTTAATACAACTCAAAGTAATAATGTTGGTTCGTCTTCTCGATCGCATGATCGAGAAATGCAAGTTCAACGTGAGGAAATTGTTCGTACTATGTGGGAGGATTATATTAAAGACTAGTACACTACAATTTATGTTCAATTTTTTATTGAACTAAAGTTAGATGAAACAGTTACCTAAGTGGAGAATAAATAGCTATGTAATAGTAATTTATTATTCGGTTTTATAATTTTTTGTTTATTTGGTAAGATTGAATAAACAATTAGGGTTATTTTAATAATTTTACAACTTATGAGATTCTTATGTTTATGAGAATATACAACACAAAAATTTCATATCGCATGTCCAAACAAAACTTCAATTTCATCTCATAAATCCATATTATGATATCATATCATGATATCATATCGCATGGACGAGCAAATAGATTTGGAGTAAGAAACTCGCTTCTTTGAATATGCTTCTAGAGGAGGAGAGGAAGAAAATTGTGCACAAAATTATTGTATATGCACTTTGTTGTTCTCTTCTTACTAGTACTAGTAGGACGTACCGTTGGCTTCTCAAATTTTGTTACATTCTACCTATTTTTAAATTTTTAAATCATAATATTTAGAAATATCTTTTTAAACGAATTGAGATAGAGAAAATATATAATTATATAAACTTAAAATGTGAACTTATAGTAGTACATACAGATAAAAAGGTAAATAAAGAGGGAGAGAGTTCCACGAAATAAGAATAATGAGTTTTGAAACAAAGAGACGTGGCCAATTTTTGAACATATATAAGTGGCAACTATGATATCTCTCTCTCTATATATATATATCCATTTGAATATGATGTACATGCATGCATTGAGTGGAATTATGTTCTTTTTAACCATATAGAAGTTTGCAACTAACTAAAACATAGTCAGTACCCTAGACCCTAGTAAATACATAGGTCGACAAGCAAGGCAAAGTATATTGAATTAACCTAAATATCATATCTGTGGAGAAATAAAAAAGAACAATATATAAAAATCAAACAAAACAAATATTAAATGACTTCAAAGTCACATTATAAACAAATTGGCAGATAAATAAAATTAAAACTAAATTAAACAATTATCATGTAAATCTCCCAATATATAGAAAGTTGAGTAAAAGCATCAGCTAAAAGTTGAAGACTAAGACCGATAATTCTGCATCCACTTTTCAGCTGGCTGGGAAAAAATTATGCCTTTCTGAAAAAAATGAACTTACGGAATACCCAAGCCGAGAGATACATCGCAATGTTTTCATTGTGTTTGATTAATTTGCTACTCTAGATGCTCTCAACAGAGATCTTTGTGGTATATCTTTTTGTTTGATTTAATTTCTTGCAAAAACAAATTTTGCATTAGATGGGGCGAATGGGCAGGTGGTCTCCTTGGATAAACCTCTCTCATGAGTTAGTTTTAGAGTTGAGTTAAGCCCAAGTGTCATATTTTTATATGGTATTAGAGTTAGATTCATCCTGTTTGGACTCCCGATCCACGTCCCAGTTAGGTCTGGGTGTGTGAAGGGGGTGTTAGAGTGGTAAAAGTCTCACATTTATTGGGGAATAGATTTCATTAGCTAGATATATTGTTACAATGATTATTTTATGGTTGAGTTCTTTTGATTGTCAACAAGAACGAAGGTCTGTTGTTTACATCATTTTAGCCCAGCAGTAGTGCTCTACCAACCTGCGCGGAATCAGAATCTGGTTAGACAATCTCTAATCGGAGCAATTTTAGACATGTCTCAATGCTTAGAGCTAAACCTGTTAGAAGTAGAGAGGATAAGGCATTCCTTTTTACAACACCGACTAAACAACGAATTGTCTGCCAGATATGTACTAGTGAACTTGTACGTGTGGCAATAATAAAAGACGGTCAAATTTCAATAATTACATTAAGTATAATATAGATAGAAAAGGTTTTTACAATCTCTCTCCATATATAAATACTTTCAATAAAGTCATAATATACTACTTTGAACAAAAAGACATTACTCCTATAAACTTACTATTGTAAGAAATTTATATAAAATATAAAATAAAGAAAAATCAAAAGAGTATATAAACCAAATGCAACATCTGTCTTATTACCTTATTAAAAAGTAGAAGAAAAAAATACAAAATTAATACACAATTTTTGGTAAGTTCTTATTCTTAAAGTGAAATTTTTTCTATATAAATACAAATGGATCAAACATCAAAACAAATATGAATATTCAATGAAAAAAAGCTAACTCAATTATTGATCCATCTAAAAACTGTATCTTATTTCTCGTTGAGAATTTTGAAAAAAAAATAAAATTGACTTGATCATACATGAGCTAAGGTAATACTAAATAAGTAATTTTAGAGAAATAAATCTTTATGTATAAACGAATCCTCTTTGGTGATCACCATGATATATAGAAAACAATTTAAATGGTCCTTTGAATGTCCTAAATCCAAAAGAAAAACCCTTACTGTACATGAGTAGCACGTCACCAATCGCAAACATATATTTCGGTATGATATAATATAGACAGGCCACTCTTTCTTGTATAGTAAATAATTGAGTCAAAAATTCCTTAATATCATAATTTTTTATTACTCATAACTTAAAAGTGCTCCCCTCTATATGTTGGCAAGTATAATAAGCACAAAGCATTTCATGTATTACTGAAACGACACATTTTATAAGCCTCATATATATTGGGAATATTGCAAATTTCATGTGGCAACGATATCTCTCTGTACACCTCATTTGATATATTAAATGAAATCACAAAATAGTTGGATAAATCATCCATCCAATGAAATGCACCACGAACAAATGCTAAAGAGTCGTCAGGACGTAGACCATTGTGAAAGGCACAAGGATGTTTGTCAAATTTTTCTCCAAGAATCACTCTTTAGCGCGAGGATATTACTGCATGGTCTAAAATCATTACCACCATCATCGTTGTCAATCTTAAGAATCTTATAGTCATCACTAATCAAGTCATATCCAAATCCGTAAGTGCAAAAGAATGCCTCTTCGTATGTGTGTCGAAATTCAGGATTAGGAAGTAGCATTGATTCATTTGTGGAACGGTTCCACAGTAAATAGCCATCACGATACAAAACAAGAGACAAACCATCACAGCAACATATTATTTCGTAGCGCCTCTTTGGATAATAATTTAAAGGGAAACCACTAAACTTTTGTAATGGTTGAGCCGATGATTAAAAAAGAACAATAACATGAAATCGTACCAGAATGTAGTCGCGCAATAAGAATTTTTTTTTCTTCTTAGCATGATTGAAATGCTTTGCTTTAACGTAATTCGAGGTGATCAATGTATTCTAAGATTTTGATGCACATTTAAATCGAAGAAGAGACTGGACAGATAATCTGATGAGGATTTCCACAATTATTTCTTCTAAGAAGTGAATTTTCATGGCCTAGATAGAACAATTAAACCAAATTATTTGCTATAAACAAATAACGAAAGAAAATTAACTTAAAACAAGAAATAATAACGTGTGCATAATAAAACTCACCCCATCAACATCCATTTGATTTATCTCTATGTAATATTTGTTTCCATAACTCAAACTTGTGAATCTCGTTCAATTGTCAAACAAGAACAAAAAAAAATTAAAAATTAAAACAATACTTCACAACAACCTTTAAGATCTGGAAAAATCTGCTTCTCCCTTTTTGATGAAGTATAAGGAAAGAGTTGAAGGTCATAATTGATTTGAAAAGAGCTTTTCCATCTTTAGAGCTTTCCCTTTCTCTATTTGCTCTGATTATTGATGTGGCTAAGAAACACAATTTCACGTGAGAAAGAATTGTGTTTTATGGAGAGTTATATATATGATAAGACCTTTGTACCCGTAATGACAGGATCAGAATTTTTCATTAAGGAATTTAAAATATATACGAAAAAAATAAAGAGGTTTAAATCTGCTATATATAAATAGAAAAAAAAAAGCATTTAGCATTGTGTAAAACTTATTATAAGGAGAAAAAGAACAAAAAGGTAACAAAATAGAAAGAAACACACACTTAAATGAAGAGACAAATAGACTGATGTCTGCTCATGAAGAAGCATTAGAATGATTAATTGATCTTCTGTTCTTTGATAATCTAAGTTACACAATCTCACTATACATGATGTAGTCTGTAGATATCAGAGAAACAAATCTCTATACCTGCCCAAAAATGATCTAATAGATATACATGATACATAAACTAGGAATAACTACTCCTATTTGCTTGCCAGAACTTCATCTAGTTAAAAAGATTCCGCTGATCAATCTGTTTCAGAGCAGCCATATGGTGAACTCATCAGATCATCTGCTTTCTCATCGAACATCCTAACTTCTGTTTCTTTATCAAATACCTGGTTTCCCTTTTTCCCTCGTTCTGCCCTGGACGACACTGTTTTGTGCTTTATACCAACAGCTTCAGCTTGATCTGCGAATAATTTCTTTGAGATGGATGAACTGCATATTTGTTGATAGACATCGTAGGTAGCTGCGTGAGTGTTTTCTCCGTTCAGAATATTTGAAAGAGGATGCAACACGGAAATTGGATCACTGTCCTACTTAGA